GATGTGGTGACAGTTTTGAGAATATTTTGGAAAGTATCTTTATGTTTGTATTTGTATTCATAGGATTAGCCTTTGTTCATTATTTTATGATCATTATTATTATTTTAAATTTAAATTGGGTATTCGATTTCTTTTTAAATCTGATAGTTTGCGATTTTGGATCCTATAAATAGAACAAAGTAGTATACTTACATAAACAATACCACAATTAGAGAACTTACTATAAAAATCTAACACCTGATTGATGACTTGTCGTACAAGACAGTGCTACGCAGTACCAAAGTTTTTTTTTTTTTTTTTTTTTTTTTTTTTTTTTTTTTTTGCTGAGTGTACCAGAGTGATATTTAGCACTATTTTTCTTCATACTTTGAAGTTGATCTATAAAAGGGCCGAGGAAGTTTTGGTCCATAAACAAACCAAGCCCAGCCTGCAACGCTCATTCCCAAAATTCGGCTTGTTCCCAACCTTGTAATAAGTACTTATTTTGCTTTCCTCTAGCCAATTGCTTATAAGAGATTGACAACTGTGCAAATATATATTAGCTTGTTTTATTTATTATGCCTTGTTCTTGTTCGCTCCACATTCATTGCTTTCTCTAGATTTTATCTCAAATAATTTTGAAATGGGAAATTTACGATTTTTTACTATGCATTTTGAGTTAATTATAAAAGTAACCCTAAATTAAGTTTATCTAACCATTAAATCGGTGTATTTTTTTATTTTTATATGATTTATGCAGATCTAATAGTTAGAAAACCTAGCCTACCGATATGTTAGCGTATTAAAAAAACTCTTTTAAAATTAAGGGTTTGTTTTAAAGGTATACTCAAACCATGATTAGTGTTGGACTTTCGGGCGGCGGGCATGCCCAATGCCCGAAAATTTTTGGGCAGGCGGGCAGGCCCCTATCGCCGCCCGAAAATGTTTTTCTTCGGGCACGGGCTTGGGTAGCCCGAAAATGGTAAGCCCCCCGACAGCCCGCCGCCGTGGAGAAGCCTTCCCCCGCCGTTCGCCGGATTTTTTTTGAATTTTTCGGCAAATACCCGAAGCTGCCCGAACTGCCTGAATTACCTGAATTTTTTGTGACCGTTGCCCGAATTTCGACCCGTGCCCGAAAAATGCCCGATTTTTTTTTTACCGTTAGCCCGAAAATGCCCGAATTTTGAAAAAAAATGGTCTTTTGCCCGAACCTGAACCCGAATTTTTGAACCAAACGGTCGAATTTTTATCCGTTGCCTGAACTGCCCGAATTTTGCCCGACCTGCCCGAAAAATTTGTAGCCGTTGGACCCGAATTTTTGGGAGAAAATTTTTTTTTTTCAACCCAAAAATTTTCCTATAAATACCCCCCCTCCCCCCAACCATTTTCCTCACCCCAAAACTCTCATTCTCTCTCAATTTCTCTTAATCTCTCTCAAATCTCTCTTAATCTCGCTTAAATCTCTCTCGAATCTCGATCTCTCTTAAGCTCTCTCAAAGCGCTCTCAATCTCTCTTATTTTTCATAATGGCTTCTTCTGGTTATGATGGTGGTGGTGATATTCCTATTGATGCCCAATTCAACATCGAAGAAGGGCAATTTCCTAATGTTTTTCAATCGCAGGAATCGCAAACTATGGAAAGAGATGCTGATCAAACTGCAAATCC